ACACGGCCAAACAGCCTGCAGTGGGCGGGTGTGGACCGAAGCCGCGCAGAGACTACACTCTGGCCCTGGACAGGGACAGGGAGTGGAGGGGCACCCTTCCCTTTCACCCGAAATGTAGGCATTCAGGGTTAAAACAGGCGCAGCCCCAGGCAAACCAGGGCTGGTCGATGGCCCCAGAAGACCCAGCTCCCTCTGAAGCTCTTGGGGTCTACACGGTGGGGGTGGCCAGTGCACTCGCCTGGCACCCTGAGCCCTCCCCAGGGGACCAGGCTTGACTGAGGGCCCCACCACCCCTCCACCCAAGCTCCTGCCTAAGGCCTGGCTGTGGGAAGAGCAGGCAACTCAGCTGATTCCAACCCAGAAGCTGGAGCACAGGTCTCTCCAAACTCCGCCGGGCAATGAGCCAAATACCGTCCTTTCAGGAGCCACCAGTAGCCAGGGTCCGAAGCCAGGACAGTGGGCGTGAGATGTGAAGGGGTCATGGGAAAGGGGACTGAACTCAGGGGACAGCAGGGCCCAGAGACAGGTCCAGAGACCAGCCAGCCTCCCCCAGAGGCCCAGACCCTGCTGAGGGCCAGTCCACGCAGGCGCAGCCGAGCGGGAGTAGCTCGTGACTCGGGTCACTGGGGCCCAGGCACTGCATTTGGAAATCCCCGGGAACTGGCCCCTTTCCGAGCGGAGGCCATCAGTAGGAATCCCCGTCCTGGCCAGCCCTGCTTGTGGGGTCACCCATTTGGCACCTACTCTCTGGGCGCCTCCAGGGGGTTAGCATATCATTTCTGTCCTCACCATGCTTTGGGTGGTCGGCAAACCCGGCCTGCCTTCTACACGACTGGGACTCGGGATGACTGACCTGCCGGGGCCACCTGCCCCCGTGCCTGGGGCTCTAGAGGCCAAGGTCGGCCGTGCCCCATTCAAGGGTGCACTTCTGCACCCAGCAGACACACAGCCATCGCTCAGCCCCTAACTGTACCTCAGAGATGTGTGAGCTGCACATTTCGGCGTGGGAAGGGGCCTTGGGGCCACCAGGCGAGCTCCGGCTTTCCAGCCCCTGGCCAGGGCCAGCCCGTGAGTAAGCAGGCAGCCCCGCGGGCTCCCCAGAAGTCCTCCTCTTGCTTAATTCAGAAATGCCTGCTGCCTGGGGAGTTGCCAACCTCTTCCTGTTCCCCTCCCTGCCCCCTCTTCTGAGGGAGGCCACATGGGGTGTCCACGCTCCCCACTCCATTCCAGCTGGGAGAAGGGGCAGCCTCCGCCACCATTAATCCAGCCAGGCTGCCCAGGACAAATGCTTGACCTCTGGAGATGCAATGCCCCCCAGAGCCACCGAGCCCCATGGTGAGAGCCTCCTGCAGGGCTGGACTGTCCAGAGGCGACGAGGTGTCCGGGCCTCGGGCCACTCAGGCCGCTCTCCCCTGGCTGTAATGGAATCTTCTCAGCTGGCTTGTGAGCCACGGCAGCTCCGGTGTCCACTCTGCTTGAGGCTCTGATCGCCGTGATCGAGGGCCGGCAGGTGGGCGAGCTCCCGCGGAGGCTTGGCACCTGTAGGAGCCCAGGTGGGCCTGGGTAGCACGTGTGTGAGTGTATGTATGTGGTGTGTGCATGCATGTGTGTAGGTACGTGTGTCGGGTGTGTGTGTGCATTGGGGGGTGAGTGTGTATGTGGGGGGTATGTGTACATGTTTGTGTGTTTGCATGTTGGGGGGGAGTGTGTGTATGTGTGTCTATGTGGGATGGGAGTGGGGGGCCCATGAGCTCCAGACTCTCTGGTCAAGGTCCTGGCCTGGTTCTCCCACTGCTACCAGACCAGGGGCCCCTGGAGTAGGTGTCACTGGCGACAGGACAGCAGGGGGGCTTGGCCGGGGCTCTGTGGGACCCATTGCTTCTGCAAGCTCCTCGCCCCCTGTGCCTGACGTCCTCTTGGGTGGACGTGCACAGTACAGGGTTTGAGGGGTGACTAGGAGTTGTATGGGTACTGAGCCAGGCGCCAGCCACAGGGCTAGAGCCAAAGAAGGACCCCTCCCCTTGCAGGGCGAGCACTGCACTGGAGTCTCAGAAGAACCCTCAGTGAGGACAGAGACATGCCAGCAGGCTGGGGGGGCAGGCCCAGGTCGGACAGAGCACGTGGGTTGGGGGCACAAAGGTGACAGCCTGGCCCAAGAGGAGGAAGGAAGCCCAGTGGGTGGTATTACAGAGCAATGTGGCTGGGTGGGTGGCAGGAGAGGTGGCTGGGCCCCAGGGCATGGCATTACCCAAGGTACTGAAGCAGGTGAGAGCAGGCCCAGCCTGCTTCGTGCACCCCTGGGGACTGGTGGGTGCAGAGCTGGGCTGGAAAGAGAGCCTTGGTGGGGCTGCTGGGTGCCATCACCATCTCCAAAGGCTTTGAGCCAAAGGAGGGGGGCATTAGGCCAAACCCCTCAGACTGCCCAGGGTCTTGTGGATGCATGGCCTTGGCCAGACCTCTGCTCCCAGAAAGGGTTCAGAAGTCAGAGCTCCCTGTCCACCCCAGAGATGAGAGGGGGTGTGCCCTCAGAGAGGGGTGCCCTCCCCAGGCCAGGCGGGTGCGGGGATGACACTCTGTAGGCCCTGGGCCTGGAGCTATTTTCCACCCGTTATCATCCATCTGTCACAAGCTGGCCTCAGAGCAGAGGGCACTCGAGTTACACATGTTCCCTGCCAGAGGCCCTGAGGCCTCCTCTCCCGTGCAGGGCCCCGCCCTCTAGCATCCAGCCCTGGAGGGAGGCACTGGGCCAGCCGAGGCATGTGGGGGACAGGCCGGGGGCAGTGCTGAGAACACACTTACATGCACACACATGCACATGCGCACACATGTGCACACCCAGCACACTTACATGCACATGTGCACATACATGCACACGCAGCGCACTTTCATGTACACACATGCACACCAAGCACACTTACATGCACACACATGTGCACACCCTGCACACCTTTATGCACACAGGTGCATGAAGGCACAATCACACACATGACACAGTCTCACATGTGTACACACTCACACGCATGCACATACACATAGACACTTCCTCACGTGCACACTCACATGCACAAACACACATGTGCTCATACGTGTGTACACACCTACACATTGCTGTCCTACCACCCCTGGGGCAGACATGGGAATCCGGGAGCCCCGGGGGCCCTGTGCACAGTAGGGTTCCACCTCTGGGTGCTGCTGGCAGGGCCACCAAGGGTCCAGCCCTCCAGGTCCCTGTGTGGCTCGGCCAGTCCCAAGCATCCCCAAGCCTGTTGCCTCATCAGAAAGGTCCCCCTGGGGACCGAGCCCCAGCCTTTGGGCCGGTGGTGGCCTCAGCTGCAGCCCCACTGCTGAGCCACTGGCCCGCAGGCCACCCTCTGTGAGAGCAGGTCCTTAAGCTCAGCGGCCTCCCTCCTGCCACCTTCTCCCTGGGCTAGTGGCTCCTGCCACAACTCTATTTGCAATAAAAAACCTGATGCTGCGATAGGAGAAAATTGTTTCCTTTTGAAATAATCGCCGCGGTCCAGGCGGATCTGCACTGACATCGTTCAAGGGTGTGCTGCTGGTCGGAGATTTATGCCTGCCGAGGGGCCAGCGGGCCCAGCCCCCTGCTGTCTCCCAGGTGAAGAGAGCCGGGGGGCCTGAGTCACACCCCCC